AAAATTAATGTTTAAAAACAAAATTGAATCAATTAGGTGAAAATAAGTGTGATTTAATATTTTTTATTTGAGAGTTTCTTCCCATGAATATGTCTTTCCACGGCCGATTTGCAACTGAACTGAACAGTTGAAAAACAGTGTGAATATATTAGTGGGCCTAAATACAATAAAATCCGAAGAAAGCATATGATGGGCCCAAAGAATAAGGCTCAGTCAGAAAAAAGGACAACATACACGGCGTCGTTTTCGAGTGTTCACTCTGCGTTTGATACTTGCTGGGATTTTCCTGCTACTTCCGGCGAAGCGACGACGATGTTTGCGGCGAGAGTACGAGCTTCTCTCAAACCTTTGTTCCATCGAAGAATTAGCTCCTCTTTAACCCGAAACTGTAAATGAATTCCTTACTCTTTCGTGTATTGATCTTTCAGAGATTTGAATCCATGGAAATGAAATTTCTCGAAATGGCTAACTCGGTGTTTCTCAGGTGAAATTGCAGCGATTTCGAGGGGGTTTTCACATGATAGGTGAGTTTTGATTTCTTCTTTCGATCTGTGGTGGTCAGGATTTTAGCAATGTCAGTTACTCCAATTAAGGGTTTTGTTAGGGTTTTAGATTTTTCAATGGAGTTTCTTCTTGTGTATTGATTCAATGATGGAGAATGGAGTCTGAATAGGTTGCGATTATATGGTAACGGAGAAAGGATCAGACTTTTGAACCGCAGATTTTATAGTTCTTCACAGAGTCATTCGTCGGAATTTGATGTAGGTACGTTTGTTAATCTAGAACTTAAGATGATGATTTGAGAGTATATGATTGATTTGTGCTCTTGACAATGGTTTCTGATTCTTTATCTTATGGATTTTCAGGAGTGAAAGCTCTAAAAAATGCGTTATTTCGTACTCTTGAGGATGATTTTTCAGATTTGGGTCCTGTAGAAAAAGATGGGGATCAAAATTCGGTTGTGAAGCTGTTAACGATGCGAGAGCCTTCTCAGGTAGGTCATTGAGATCTCCTTCTGTGTTTTTGATTAGTGAAGTAAAAGTTTTCATTCGCTTTTGTCCTTAGGATTGATTAGCTTTGATGCTTTTAGCTGCAGTGGTTATATCTAAAATGATTAAACTTTCTTAAGTGAGCCGA